AACTATGAATTATAACTATACCGTTTTTGTAACATTTTGTTTTGCAAGCAGAATATATTGAGCACAGCAGGAAGTCTAGAGGGGAAGTCGGGAATGGTTTTTGACCGCACACATCCGTACGCCTGTTGGATTTGTTTATTTTATTTAATAATAATATTACATGTGAATTATATAGCGCTTTTCCTGCTGCTCAAAGCGCTATACAAGCAAGTAGAGAAATAACAACAAGAGTAAAAAGTGCTAAGCTAGGTGGAATAAGGGCGAGTTCAACTTTTCAAGCTTCGAAGGAAGCGTCAGCCAATCAAATCATATGCCAGTACAAGCTCTAGCCAATCAAACTGCGTGCTTGTGTGTCTGGGGCGGGAGACTCATGTGATTGGTTGTTGGTCGAGCTTCAGACACGCCCGCCGGCAAGCTTCAACGCACGCCGCCGTGTGGACGCTGCGTGAGGTATTTGGATTTCTTGAAGTTTACGCGAGTCAATATTGGAAGTGGCCTTTGAACATACTATCACGCTATTCAGCCACTACAGATGGTAAAGCGCTTTGAATGATTAAATCGTGCTGCTCCTACTCTCCAGAGCGTGGTAGAGCAGGTTGAAGTCCTCCCTCCTCTGCGGGTTGACCCAGCGCCTCCTCCGGTCCTTCAGCTGCTCCTCCTTCTCCTCCCTCCTCTTCCTCTCCTGCAGCTCCAGCCAGACCAGCCTCCGGTCCCGGTCCCTCCTCAGACGCTGCACCTCCTTTAGGGCCAGCCAGCGCCGGGCAAACGTCTGGAGGACCACCACCTGGGGGGGGGGGGTGATAACATGATAACATGCTAACAAAGGTATCCCAACTGTAGCTGTGAACATGACAGGATGTATGATTACCTAGAAGAGCATCAGGACTGTTTGAGGCATATGATAGCTATGTGATTAACATGATGATTCAGCCTCTATGGAGATAGACATATGACAAGCATGATCATTTCTGACGTGGAGCTAATCTGAAGTAAACATTGAATACTGCTTTCTATTCCTCCATCTTGTGACTGTGTAACTCCCTCTCTTGGATATCAGCATGTGAAGGACACTGTTCAGGAACTAGTTGATGCTCTGTATGTGATGACTACTTCCATTCTGGAGAGGATCAGAGATACATGGATCCTGAGATTGAAGATCAAGCCGGTGACGAGTGATTATTAACAATGTTGAGATTTTGAGAAAAAGTCATAATTTTGAGAGAAAGTCGGATTTTGGAGAAAAAGTCAGAATTTTGGGAAAAAGTCAGAATTTACCCCAGAATTTTGAGATTTTTAGAAAAAGTCAGAATTTTGAGATTTTTAGAAAAAGTCAGAATTTTGAGATTTTTTAGAAAAAGTCAGAATTTTGAGAGAAAGTCGGATTTTTGAGAAAAGTCCGAATTTTGAGAAAAAGTCAGTATTTTGAGAAAAAGTCAGATGTTTGGGTAAAAATTTTGAGATTTTGAGAAAAATATCAACAAATTCTCTTTTTTTGTTTTGACTACTTTGAGAAGATAATACATGGATCCTGATATTGAAGCTCAAGCCGGTGACCAGTGATATTGTTCTAACAGTTCTACTGTAGTAAAACGTATCACAGTAAAATGTGCACATTTTTACTTAAACTTCCTATGTTTATATAGTAGTTTAATCTTTTTTTAATTGATTTGTACTTTCATTGAACATTTTACTTTATAATTTACTATAATTATATAATTCATTATTGACTTATTGCTGTTTTGTGAGGTCACATGACCCTTGACCTTTCCTCCAGTGTCACAATCAGGACAAATGTTGGACTAGCATGCCAGTTATCATTTCTACATTAACCGGAATAAAAAAAGGCCAGAAATATTTAATAAAAACACATCTTAGTCACTCACAGCTCTCAGCCTCTCTTCGTGGTACTGGTCAGCTGTGATGTAGTTGCCGGGGGCGACCAGCTTGTCGTCCATGCAGGAGACGTAGCAGCCAATCCCCGTCATCTGGGTGGAGGCGTCGAGCGGACACTGCTGCGCTTCAGACTGCAGCTCCACTGTCTGAGGGGGAACAGACAAGGAGATGGATGAATTCAATCATTGATTTCTTATAATAATTTGTTGCCAACTATTGCAGAGAACAGGTAGATTTGGAAGTGGTGAAGAAGGGACGACATGCAGCAAAGGTCCGCAGGTTGGCAGTATGGAGTCAGACTTAGTACATGAACTCTCTCCCCGGTAACATTCAAAATGCCAACACTCCCACAACCTTCAAACAGCCCTCACTTCTCCTCTACTCTAAGAACAAGACATACTTTATTAATCCCTCATGGGGACATTTCTTTCTCTACTCTGCTGTGTTTACACACATTACACACACAGGGAGAATAAACAAATTATAATCTGGTACCATGATAGCAGAGGTGGCAGAGCAGGGAGCAGTTTCGAGGTTAGTAGCCTTGCTCAAGGGCACCTCAGGAACTGGCTCCAGCGAGCAGCTCACACTCTGTATTTCTTTGGTTCAATGGATCGTGAACTATGAATTATTATTATTATGAAGCCATTTCAAAAAAAGGAATATATTTATTTATTCATATTTATTTTACAAACACAACACGGGTCAAAAAGTCATCCATTCGCAGTACCGGGACTTCTTACTGTGTACCGTTACTTCTTACTGCGTACCGGCACCTCATGACGCATGTGTCCTCCCTGGCAGCTCCATTGATTCCCTCTCTCCTTTCCTGCTGAAAGATGCATGAGTGCACTCGGGGACGAGGAGTCATTTAACCAGCCGCCAGTAGGAGTCAGGCTTTAGCCATATCCGCTGCCTTTCATACTTTTTTCAAGTACAGTGAGCCTTTCTAAAATATACAGTAAAGAGACAAACCCACCAGCATTATAGGATATACTATATGACCTGATGCAGGCACATGTATAGGCTACGTCATGTTCTCTATGAGAGCCCCGGACACCTCCCTGATTAGTCGTGGAAAAACATGCAATTTCTGAATGTTACAGTAAATATTCTGTTTTAAAAAAAAATATTTTCCTTGTCTGTTAAAGTTTTTTTGTGTTTCTTTTTAATTACTGAATCAAAGGTATGAAGATAAGGATAGAGGGAGTCGTATGTTGTACAGATTGTAAAGACCTTTGAGCCACATTCTTGTTTTTGGGCTGTATAAATAAAATTGACTTGAAACAGTTGCTGATTTAGAGTACTGGCACCTTTTTTATTCCAATTCAAGCACTGGGTTAGAGTGCACATGTCCCTCAATCTGAAAGGTGGATGAGTGAAAGGCTGGAGCAACGTGATCATAGCTTCCCCAGCTCCACCCGTTTGCTACTGTGTCCCTCTGCTGTCAGCACCATCAGACGCACATTAGCTCTATGCTCCTTGTATTTCCCTTTCCCTTCAATCTTAGTGTTTTTACGTGTGGTTTGCCGGAGAGGTGCCTGAAAAACAGGAAGGAAAATAAATCCAGAATCACAAATAAATATCTTTAAAAAAAAGAAAACCCTGTGACGTATGGTTTGTTGTAAAAGAGCGGGGAGTAAAGAAAGGGTGCAGGATAATGAGGCCAACAGACCGACAACCTGTGAAGTGTAAACATCTTTACACACACACACACACACACACACACACACAGGTCTCATTACTGCAGCACCTTGTGCATTTGTAACGATCCCACCACCATCGTGTGTGTGTGTGTGTGTGTGTGTGTGTGTGTGTGTGTGTGCAGGAGAGTGAGTCATACACAGTAACAGCAAAGGAACTACACCAGTGCAACATATAATAACTATTCTTAAAGGGGACCTATCATGCAAAATGCACTTGTTGATGTCTTTTATACATAAAGATGTGTCCCCGGTGTGTCAGGGAACTCGCGCAGCGTCAGAAAATAAAACCCTCTCTCTTTTCCTCCGTACCCAAATCTCTAAAAACGGGGGAACAACGGAGCTGATCCAGATATGCGTCCGATATGACATAATATCTGAAATGTGGACCCACGGCACTATCAGAAACGTTGCTATCAGAAACAATGCCCGACTGTTTTGGACGTAATATGGTCGGTGTTTACATTAGCATCGCTAACACTGAGAGCTAACCTGTACTGGAGAGCATGTGTGTGAAGAAGATAGAAGATAGAAGATACTAGGGCTGTGCAATTAATCGTATTTTAATCGCGATTACGATTATGGCTTGCGACGATTATGAAAACAGCATAATTGACAAAATACGATTATTTTGCTGGGTGCGCTTTCGCCCCTCCCTAAAAGCCCACTCGGCCACGTGGGAGTGACATGTGTGAGTGTTCAGCGCGAGCGAAGATGTCAGAACAAGAGCAGCAACTCGTTAAAAAGAAGGGTAAAACTATTTCCACTATTTGGAAGTACTTTGGCTTTCAGGAGTCCGACGTGGAGCAAAACAAAGTACAGTGCAGGATTTGTTACCAGGTTGTGTTGGCACCACACGCTAACACAACCAATCTCTTTAATCATCTGAAATACAACCACAAAGTGCAATACGACGGGGCAATAATACAACAAAAAGCAGACCAAAAAGATGCCCGCTCGACTTCATCCACAACATCATCACAGTCATCGATTCAGGACGCATTGCACAGAGCAACGGCCTACGCGACGAGCTCGCAGAGACACAGAGATATTACAGGTGCCATTACATTTCACATCGCTAAAGATATGTGCCCAGTTAGCACTGTTAGCAACCAGGGCTTTAAGCAACTTGTCAACACGTTGGACAAGCGTTACGAGATGCCGTCTCGGTATTATTTCAGCAGGTCTGCGCTGCCTGCGCTATATGACAAATGCCGTGGGGAAGTTGAGAGAGATGTGGCTTCAGCTGACTACTTTGCCACCACAACGGACCTATGGTCTAGCCGCACCATGGAGCTATACATGAGCCTCACAGTTCATTATATCGATGCCGATTTCAATTTGAAGACAAAGTGTCTCCAAACCGCATTTTTCCCTGAAGACCACACGGGGCAAAACATCGCCCATGGACTGAGGGAAGCGATGGCTGCTTGGGGGTTAAAAGAGGATAAACTCATCTGTATGACTACGGACAATGCCGCAAATATAAAGCTGGCGGCTGAGGTCAATGGATGGATGAGGCTCCAGTGTTTCGGGCATAGACTCCACTTGGCCATAGGTGAGCAGGATTCCTTCCTCCTGTTGTATGTAATATGTCATTTTAACAACAGCAACAACAATAATAGCAATAGTAAGTCATTAACATTGATGATCTCTCTCTTAATATGATAATATTAATTACATATTATTATTATTATTATTATTATGTTATGTGTGAGCTACTCTGTCATCTCTCTCTTTTTTTTCTCTCTCTCTTTCCCTCTCTCTCTCTCTCTCTCTCTCTCTCTCTCTCTCTCTTTCTCTCTCTATCTCTCTCTCTCTCTCTCTCTCTCTCTCTCTCTCTCTCTCTCTCTCTCTCTCTCTCTCTCTCTCTCTCTCTCTCTCTCACACACACACAACACACCAAATTATGCTTTGATGAAGATCATGATTATCATCATGATACTAAATAATATGTATTTGTTGTAATCTTAGAGAATGCAATGAAGGATCCCAGGATCGGCCGTGCAATGGGGCTTTGCAAGAAGCTGGTCAGCAGCTTCTCCTACAGTTGGAAAAAGAAGAGGGAACTTGCATCTGCCTGAACACTCCCTAAAGACAGAATGTCCAACCAGATGGGGATCTAGGCAGGCCATGATCGACAGGGTCCTCGAGCAGCAGAAGGCCATTGCCCAGGTCCTTTCCAGCGACCGAAAAACCAGACATCTCTCCCTCACGTGGCAGGACGTTGATGTACTGGAGGCAATCAATAAGTCGCTTAGCCCTCTGGTGGAATTCACAGACGCACTTTCTGGAGAGAAGTATGTAAGTGTGTCTTTTTTGAAACCAACCCTGCACCTCTTCAACAACTCATTGCTGGCAGTGCAGGAGGATGACACAGACCTCACAAAAAGCATAAAAAAGAAGATACTAGACTATCTTAATGATAAATATGATGACGCAGCGACACAAGAGCTGCTTGACATGGCCTCTGCCCTGGACCCGAGATTCAAGCTCAAATATGTCAGTGAGGACAATCGAGGATCCATTGAAGCCAGCCTGACAACTGAGATGAGGAGGGTGATGACACTCATGGTAATAATAATAATAAAAAATAAAAATGTCAGATTTGACAGTAAATACAATTAAGTGAATGAATGTGTTGTCAAAGTGTTATAATGTAATTCTAGGTATAAATGTTAATACCCATAACCATTTAGTCTGATTAAACATGTCATTCTTATTTTCTTTATAATACTCCAAGGAGAACGCCCCTCTTGAGACGGCAGCGGTGCCTGCAGATGACACGGAGGATGCTGCTGCAGCTGCACCAAAGAAGAAAAAGAAGGGACTGGGGAGCTTCTTCAAGGCCACCGTAGACCAAGCTGCAGAACCTCAACCTGCTCTGGAAAAGGACAAGGCCATAGCTCTTGAGCTACAGTCCTACCTCCAGGCAGTGCCACTGGATGCTGAGGAGGACCCACTAAAGTGGTGGAGGGAATCCCGGAAGTTCTACCCACGGCTCTCCATCCTGGCAAGGAAGTATCTGTGCATCCCAGCCACAAGTTCCTCTTCAGAGAGGGTCTTCAGTACAGGTGGCAATATTGTCACCTGCCTGCGCTCGTCTCTGAAACCAGACCATGTAAACAGGCTGGTTTTTCTTGCAAAAAATCTTTAAGAGATGACATGAGCAGCCCTACCAGCATTTGCCATGGTGGCCATGTTGGCTATATGTTAAGGAGTTGTCAGTAGGTTGTGACAGTGCACTGCAACATATTTGATTTAATTTATTTTTGTCTAATTTATTTTTATTTATCATATTAATATATGTTTAGTATGGTTTTGGAAGTGCGCTCCATTATGTGTTGACCTTGTTTATTGGTAAAATATTATTTGTTTTAAAGTTTAATAAATGGTCAATGAATAATCGTCAAAATAATCGTGATATCAATTATTGACCCAAATAATCGTGATTATGATTTTTGCCATAATCGCACAGCCCTAGAAGATACACTTTATTAATCCCTTACAGGGACATTTCTTTCCCCACTCTGTTGTGTTTACACACATTACACACATTACACACACAGGGGAGGATATACATGCACAAACACAGAGGATATACATGCACACACACACAACCACATGCAGATAGGAGATAGGAGAGGTGGCAGAGCAGAGAGGCTGCCAGGTACCCGGCGCCAAGGGAGCAGTTTCGAGGTTAGGTGCCTTGCTCAAGGGCACCTCGGCAGTGGCTTTGGAGGTGAACTGGCACCTCTCCAGCTACCAGCTCACTCCATCTTTTTTTGGTCCGATCGGGACGTGAACCGGCGACCCTTCGGTTCCAAGACCAAGTCCCTACAGACTAAGCCACTGCTGCCCTAAGAAGCAGGAAATCAAAAGGAACTCACCTTGTGGTATAACCGGCAAGAGAGAAAGCCTTTGAGCTCCATACTGTTTCAGAAACAATCCTTGATAATCCATGATATGGCGTTTCATCACGGCAGTATTTAGTTTAGACAGTAGCTGCTGGGTCCCGCATGAGCTCAGACCTCTCCTTTTTATTTTGTATCAATTTTTTGAAACAGGAAGTGAAATAGAGGGATATGAGGCATGGCTAGAATGGGTGATCTGTTTGGGATTTTGAGCAAAACACTTCATAGACATGTTTTTTTATATAAGAGACCTATGCTATTGCCTAAAAATAGCATGATAGGTGCACTTTAAACTGCACTGTAACTTTTAGTTTGTATTTTACACCTGTCTCTTTCTATTTCACTGTGTTTCGATGTGCATGATATTGGTCTTTAATGATCGTATTTCTCAAAAGTATTTAAATGTCATTTGGATGAATGAATGCAGAGCCCAGTGTTTGTCAGAGAGGAGTCTCTGTGAGCGTCTGTCCTCTGTTGGAGCTCAATCAACTCCTCTCTCTCTAATGACACTGTTTCATTCGCACATGAAGTCATGTTCTGTCTCATGCCTGAATGAGTACCATGTTTGCAGTAATGAGTGACCTTTAAATGCTCCACCACACACACACACACACACACACACACACACACACACACACACACACACACACACACACACACACACACACACACACACACACACACACACACACACACACACACACACACACTACATACTGATATACACCTGAACATCAGCAGGAGAGGACTCTTTAAAGTAGAGACACTACATACTGATATACACCTGAACATCAGCAGGAGAGGACTCTTTAAAGTAGAGACACTACATACTGATATACACCTGAACATCAGCAGGAGAGGACTCTTTAAAGTAGAGACACTACATACTGATATACACCTGAACATCAGCAGGAGAGGACTCTTTAAAGTAGATACACTACATACTGATATACACCTGAACATCAGCAGGAGAGCACTCTTTAAAGTAGATACACTACATACTGATATACACCTGAACATCAGCAGGAGAGCACTCTTTAAAGTAGAGACACTACATACTGATATACACCTGAACATCAGCAGGAGAGGACTCTTTAAAGTAGAGACACTACATACTGATATACACCTGAACATCAGCAGGAGAGGACTCTTTAAAGTAGAGACACTACATACTGATATACACCTGAACATCAGCAGGAGAGGACTCTTTAAAGTAGAGACACTACATCCTGATATACACCTGAACATCAGCAGGAGAGCACTCTTTAAAGTAGAAACACTACATACTCATGTACACCTGAAAAAAGCTCAACATGGCCCCTTTAAGTAAAGAATCTGAAAACGTCTTCCACCTCTGCTGAAAACAAAAGCATGTCACTGGTATTTCCATGTAATATTTGTATATAATTATTTAAATATATTTAAGGCTGTGTGTTATTTAAAGTTGTGTGTTGTACCTGTGTGTTGTACCTGTGTGTTGTACCTGTGTGCTGTACCTGTGTGTTGTACCTGTGTGTTGTACCTGTGTGTTGTACCTGTGTGTTGTACCTGTGTGCTGTACCTGTGTGCTGTACCTGTGTGTTGTACCTGTGTGCTGTACTTGTGTGCTGTACCTGTGTGTTGTACCTGTGTGCTGTACCTGTGTGTTGTACCTGTGTGCTGTACCTGTGTGTTGTACCTGTGTGCTGTACCTGTGTGCTGTACCTGTGTGTTGTACCTGTGTGCTGTACCTGTGTGTTGTACCTGTGTGCTGTACCTGTGTGTTGTACCTGTGTGTTGTACCTGTGTGCTGTACCTGTGTGTTGTACCTGTGTGTTGTACCTGTGTGCTGTACCTGTGTGCTGTACCTGTGTGCTGTACCTGTGTGCTGTACCTGTGTGTTGTACCTGTGTGCTGTACCTGTGTGTTGTACCTGTGTGTTGTACCTGTGTGCTGTACCTGTGTGCTGTACCTGTGTGCTGTACCTGTGTGTTGTACCTGTGTGTTGTACCTGTGTGCTGTACCTGTGTGTTGTACCTGTGTGTTGTACCTGTGTGCTGTACCTGTGTGTTGTACCTGTGTGTTGTACCTGTGTGCTGTACCTGTGTGCTGTACCTGTGTGCTGTACCTGTGTGCTGTACCTGTGTGTTGTACCTGTGTGCTGTACCTGTGTGTTGTACCTGTGTGTTGTACCTGTGTGCTGTACCTGTGTGTTGTACCTGTGTGTTGCGGCTGAAGAGCACCACCCCTCTGTCGGCTCTCCTCTTGGGGAGGGTCTGCACGGCGGCATGGTGGTACTGCGCCCCCGTCAGCCGGTGTTTGAACCCGCCCAGGAAGGCCTTCTGCTGGGGAGGACGCTCGATCTCCACCACCACCTCCCGGAACATGTTCTCCTCTGGAAGTCACAGAGATTTGAAGTGAGATCGAGAACACTAAAGCCTTCATATTAAACAAGAACGGTGGCGCGTGCGGACACAGCGGACCCTCGCTCTCCCGATTCTTCAGTGTTTTCGAGAGTTTTCAATGTTTCGTCGTTATGTTCGTCACATCTGTTGAGTTCCCTTCAACTACCCCGGACCAACAGACAGTACGATATTGAAATGACTGTTATGTTGTATATTTTAACTGTTGTGCTTTTATTTTTTTCTTAATGTGTGCATATGTATAAATGTGTCTGTTGATCGTGTATATATATATATATAGGTATATACATATTTTTACATTTGTTTTTGTATTCGGGATTGTGGGAAACGGTATTTCGATCTCTCTGTCTGCACAAACAAACTGAAAGATTGACAATAAAGTTGACTTTGAACTTTGAATCTTATTTCTAAAATAATAAGTTATAACTACGCTGTTTCCAAACCCCTCAGACAAACACTCAGTTTGTAGAAATCACAGAGAGTGAGGTGTTCACCTGTTTGCACTCTGACGGTGATGACGTCCGGCATGTTGTCCTGCTCGGGGGGGCGGAGGGGGCGCAGAGGGTGTGAGTCGGGGTCGATGGAGCTCATCTCCATCCGGGTGGAGCCGTTGGGCCGGACGCCGAGCTCCATCAGGCTCTGCTGATCCTCCACCGCTCTGCCTGGAAACAACAGGCAGAACACACACACAACTAAGGAGACATCTCCACGCTGGAAACAATCTTTATGAGTCCAATTTTCATTCATTTTTTAAATAAGCACATTTGACTCAATTCCTTTATTGACTACGACATGCCGCAACTGCAAAAATGTCTAACAAAAGAAGTGTAAGTAAGCGAGAAAAGACCATTAGCTTTTATTTATTTTTCAGAATAAATTGTAATATAAAAAGAATTACAACTCAATTCCTCTTCCTGTGTTTATGTATGCACTGTTATACACCAGATTCAAATCCTTGTACTTGTAGACCTACTTCGCAATAAACCGGATTCATTTTTGTGCCTAATCATTTCTATCAGACATTTTCTTCTAACGAATCCACATCAGAATCTGGTTAGTTTCTGTTTATCAAACGTCTGTCACTCTGAAAGGAACCAGTCATTTCCCCCAAATAAAAAACTAAACATCGCTGAGAGTTTATCTGAAGAACAGCAGACGTACCGTCCAGAAAGATGTGCAGCACATCAGCAGGAACTCGGAGCTCGTTGGCGAGGTGGAGCTTCAGCTGGGCGATGCTGAGGCCGATGGCGAAGGCCACCGTCATCACATGACCCTCCGGCACCAGCACCACCTTCACTGCACACACACACACACACCACACACACACACACACACACACACACACACACACACACACACACACACACACACACACACACACACACACACGCACACACACACACACACACCACACACACAGTTACACACAGTTACACACTCTGAGATTATCCATGTCGTTGTGTGTTTCAAATATCTTTATTGAGCCACAGAAAATTATCAATGCTGTGTATGTTGAATAAATAACACAGCTATAGCTTAAGTTATAGGATAGTATTTTGAGGTTGGAGTTCAAAAAAAGTATTAAAAAAAAGAACATTTAAAGAGAAAGCAAAACATGTTCAAAATAAATAATGAAATGAAATGAAAATTGACAAAGATAAAACATATAAGTAGAAAAAAAACAGTAGAAACCTAAAAATAACATTTAAATTAAAATTACAAACATAACTCACTGTCACTATCATGACTTATATATATCGTTTATCATAAATTGATACGAACAGATCAAACAGATAATTCCTTATAAAGCGTTTTGTCATTTCGATGGATTTTATAATCACTGAGCTATTCATTCCACACCATGAGATAGTGGGGTGTTATTTAAAGCTACTTCTTTGTGTCTGCTTATGGGACTTGATATTGATCCTCATGTTGTTTGATGATGATCCCTGAGGCAGGTTACCTGGAAACAGCACACCTCGGGTACTTCACTGCAGACACTTCACACACACATCCTGCTGCTTTTGTCTTTGCAAAAGCCAGAATACATGAATATGATCTGCATTCGTTTATCAGGGTGTGTTTGCATCGTGCCTCTGCATTTTATCACTCTGAACATATCTACAACTGAATCAAAAATGATATTGAATGAACTGTGTCCAATGGATTTTAGGAAGCATGTCACATGTCAACAGATCAGTGTCAGCGAGGCAAAATCAGATAAACTATAAGTAGAAATCAACATCATTTAATTATTGAGATAGAGGAAGTGCATCCCATCAGGCAGAATCAAAAGCTTTGTGTTAATATACAAGTTTGTTACAGAGACGTAAACATTTCGTGTTTTTTCCTGCTTTAACTGAGTTTTTACATAATAGCTTTGTTTGTTTTGCTATCAAAGTAGTTTTATTATTATCTTCACATATACTAAACATAAGAGACTACTTTACTATTATTGTATATTAAAATAATATACAATATAATCAGCAAAAGTTTAAAAGACTGATGTGGGTTGCCTGATGAAATTAATAACTGTACAATACATTAAAAAAGTAACATTTAGACTCAATTTGACTGTTTCTGCTTTCTGTGGTTATTGGTTCATGCATTTAGATAGATAGATACTTTGTTATTGTCTATGAATCAGTTACCTGTCGCCGTGGAGTTTCCAACATGTTCTGTTCTCTGAGGCTCTCCGAGCTGCTCGGCATCATGGGACAGATCCGCCTGAGTTTCAGCTTCCTCTACAGTCTCCAGCACATCTGTACAGTCAGTAAGGACCAGATTATCACATTGAAATTATGGACAGATCAGGCCATTGTGTGTAATATTTGTTACTGAGAAATCATCCATATTTCCAACTGTCAGCCACTGAATCTGAAATGTATTTCTGTTGAATTATCTATCAATCTAAACTCACCTGTAGTCTGTCTAAACTCACCTAAACTGGACTCACCTGTAGTCTATTTACATTTGATATAATTAGATTAAGTGAAACTAAACTAAACTCACATGTAGTCTAATTAAACTCACCTGGCGTCGTCCTGTCTTCCTGCTCCTCCTCTCCTCTCCTCCCCGGCTCTCTGTCGTCCTCTGCCGGCTGCTCTACAGTAATTCCTCCCGGTTCAACATTTGTGTCCGTTTCTTCCTCCTCTTCTTCATCTTCTTTCACCTCCTGCTCTTCATTTTCTCTCCTCTCCGACATGACAGCTTTAGCTAACCGACCGGCTAATGCAAGGTTAGCTTGTTAGCTTTCTCAATTCAAGTCAACTAAAGTCAACAAAACGAGCTGTAAATCCTCCAAAACGCAGAGCCAGTGTTAACTTTCGGTGACACCGTTTAGAAACCACTGTCCACTGTCACTCGTTTAAACGTCTTCTTGTTTTATTCTACTTTTTTAAATGAGTTTTTGAGTTAGTTTAGCCAAGCGGAGCTAACGCCGTCTTTCTAATGTTAGCTTGGTTCCCAGGCAACGCCAGAGTTTACACGTTTCCATAGCAACAATACAACGCCACTGTCCGTTTCTAGAAATGTTAGCTTTTTGTTTATTTTATTTACGGATGATTTGATTAAAATATCTGATAGTAAGAAGACAAAGAATACAATCATATAAATGTGATTCATCTGAACTTTTCTGTTTAGTTTTAAATAATAATACGATAATAACCATATTAAGCTGCATTCAATGACTTCAGTCTGAAACCCTTTGACTACTTGCACCCATAGACTGTATATATAAAGCTTGCACCTTACTAGACGACATAGATATGCTCCGAGTGGGAACAGAAAACTGCTTTTACTGTAAATAATTGAACTTTAAATGTGTTTAACCTGTATAATAACACAAGGCTTTCTTATATTGTTCAACTATTGCACTAGTATCCTACATGTTTGTTATTGCAATATGTTGTAGTCATTTGTCCTACGTCTTGTTGTGACTGTTATTTGTACCAAATGTTTGCAATTATATTCTTTTATGAACTCTACTGCACTACTGTAGATATCAGACAATAAAACCTTTCTTATCTTATCTATTTATGTCCAAATGAATGCCAAAGATACAATTATATGATAACACATGTAGGATATCTTGGCCTCACAAAATAAATCTTTATTTAATTACATTAAGTATGTTTGTTTAGTAATTCATGCTGTAGCTAATGACTGATAAGAGTATCATATGCTGTGTCTGGGATCGTTATAATATTTCACAATGGACATTTGGCACATTTAAATCCTTGTATCTCTTTTTTCTCAAGGACTTGAATTACAACATCCAGTTAAACTGGATTTGTAAAGAATTTGCATGTTGGTGGAAGATGTTACCAGGTTAGGAAGGAGACATATATTCTGAAATGAAAGAAAAAACACTCCAAACTAAACAATTATTCACTGTTAGGCCACCAAAGACAGACAAAATCTTGAACTTAGTCATCTTGCAGTAGCAAAACTAGTAGTGGCAGATCATTAGCAGAAGGATGAAGTCATGTAACAATCAAACTACATGTAAATATACCAGTAGAATGCGTAAAACAAGCATAATTAGTAGGCATACCATTGCAAGTATTGGAAGCAGTTAGTAGTATTTAGTATTTATGGATACAGAGGCTCGTACCCATTCTCTTTTAACAACTTCTAATACATGCTCAAAGAGTGAGGATGAGCAGCGGTCTTATTTTAGTGTTTTTACAGCCTGCTCTCCCCACAGGGACAGTATGGGAGCTTTATGATGAGCTGCAGTGCTGCTATTTCAGTCTGAGAGCCAGAGGAGGCGACATGGTGGCCCCTGCAAAGCTGCTCTAATCTGCAGCCGGACCCATGATGGCTCCCCAGAGATCACAGAGCCTGGGGCCCCCGGTGTAAAACACACAGGTACTCATCCATCCAGGGGGGGTCTGGTTATCCTGTTAGCACTCTCTCAGGATCCGTAACACACACACTGGGACATGAGCAGTAGAAACATCCGGACAGTATTTTGATCCGGGATCTGGGAGGGAATGTGGTGCAACGTGTTACCAAACAACACGGAAATATTATCACGTAGGTGCAAAGCTATCAGAAAACAGCGTCAACAAGGATCCTAATAACATACTATTGAACGTACAGGGTGGATATGATAGGATAAATATGATGATTGGTTTGAAAATAACATTGTTTGATATTTAGAAGTATTGCTTTTTGCATTACTGTTTATTTGAAACACTTTACAAAATAAGAATCAGAATTTGCAGAGTAGTTATTTACATACAGGGAGTTATCGTCGGTGTATAATGGTTCATAGATAAACACAAAAAGAGTAATTAGAATTAACAGAAAGAGCATAAATAGAAAAAATATTTAAATAGTATTTAAAAAAGGATAATACAAATATAATAAAATCATAAAATGTGCAAAAGAAACTAAAATGTATATACAATGTAGAATACGCATTTGATAAAAACACAATATGACAAATGACTGTGATTAAATAATTTCAATTTATCTGAATAAAAGTGGAAGAGCTGTGCTGTTTTAGAATTGTGCTTAACTATCTTTCTTTAAATGTACTTTAATTGTTTGTGGATATTGTATCACTCTTGGTTGTTAGATCACATGTGTCAAACTCAAGGCCCGGGGGCCAATCAGGCCCTTGGTGGATTTAATTTCGGCCCGCAGGATAATTTCTAATTACTATTAGATCTGGCCCTCCGGTATATTGCACGCACACCTTCACTCAACCCTGAGGGTCTCCTCAGCTCAGAGCCTGACCCCAAACATTGATGACCTTGCACCCAAGATGAGATGCCAAGTATCTGGCTTGAACTAGCATCACAGAGCAGCACACTGAGTTTACATGGATGTTTCCTTCTGCACTTTCTTTCTTGAGACAACAGGGCATGTTTGGTTTGTTCTTTGAGGGAAATAGTTTTGTTGAAGCTGTTGTTGGCCTGTGGGAAAATGTAATCATAAGAAATGACTCTGGAAAAGTTGCAGATAGAGCCATAAGAAATGAATGCATCTGATTATTTAATGTTTAATGTTGTTTTTATAGGCAATAATTTAAGCTTTGTTAGTTCCAGGTTTAGTATGTGCAATAAGTTCATTTCAATAAGTTCTGCAATAAACATTGAACCAGTCCGGCCCTCGACTAGTACCCATTTTTAAATTTTGGCCCACTGTGTATTTGAGTTGGACACCCCTGCCTTAGAGTTTACTCAATTACTCTAGTATATTTTATTGTACTCTATACTTTGAGTCCACTACAGAAACATATATTGTCTTTTTACTCACAGATACAAACTATAAACAAGCACAATATGTAAATGTATATTTTATAAATAATACAATTAGGGGAAAGCAAATTAGAAACAACTTGAAAATGAAATGTAACTTAAAGTCAAGAAAACCATGAAAACAACCAGATAACAAACAAACCATAGCATTGTAAATCACAAATAGAAAAACAACAGTTCCCTCATAAAAGCAAATTTCAGAAAGAGACATTTCATGAGACATCCATCATCTCACATGCTCAACAAAGCAGCGAAGGAAAAAATAGACCCGAATGATGCTGTCTTCCACAAAACAAAATAGATGGTGATGTGGAGTCCGCCGCGTAAGCCCGGAGGATTGTGGGATCTTGAATTTGGGATTCCCGCCGAACGCGATAAAGTCCCGGATTAGCTCACACAATGGCGCTCGTCAGCGGGCTATATTTAACACCAGGTGTCGAACACACACACACACACACCCTCACTGTGTTCCCCCTGCTGTTTTCAAAGCATCAGGTCACAAATATAAAACGACCGTGTGTCGTTAGAGAGCGAGCCGAGGGAGAGCCGCTAACAAACCTCTCAGGTGAGACATGCTGGGTTCATCTGCAGAAATGTACTTGTTTTGGATTTTAAATTAATACAAATTTGAGGTGTGAAGAATTTGTAAGCAGGGAATCTTGCAAAAACCTGGAAAGCTGCATTATTTTATTAATTTTTATTTGCATTTTCTGTGTTTTTTTATCTAGCGTTTGTCAGGGTTGAGCGAAGCAGGCAGAACCCAAATGCAGGTTTAACAGAAAATACCTTTATTTCAAGGCTACAAGTAACATACAGAGCAGAACTCTCTCCCCCGTGAACACAGTCAACAACAACAACAACAAGGATCTCACAAAGACTAACAGAAAAAGCAGAACCTAAATGCACACAGGACTAATCAAACAAACACAGGTGAGGTGAACACAATCAGGTAATCAGGAGGGAACACAGAGACAGGGGTTGAACACTTTTCAAACTAAAACAGGAAACCAAAAAAACAGATCTACACAGGACACAAATAAAACACAGACAGATCGTGACAGCGTTAGCATGAATTCATCTGCAGAAAAGCGCTGGTTTGGGATTTAAAACACATTTGTAGCCAGATGTTTGTGTCAGATTTAGGATTGTGCTTCTGTTGAGTAGAGGTGTGAAGAAGTTGTTAGAAAGGAACTTTTTTAATATTGTTAAAACACCTGCTGGTCTGCATTCTCTGCCGCATGTTTTACTGTCATTGTTGGTGTTTTTTTTATCTAGCGTTAGAATAAATGAATGTGCAGAAATGTGCCGGTGTCAGGTTTCAAGATTTTGTCAGATTTAGTATTTTTATTTTGGATTTGTTCAGAAGGAATCTTATTGTTGTTAAAACACCTGCAGATCTGCAATATGCTGTTTTTTATTTAGCATTAGATTGAATCAATCTGCAGAAATGTGCCGGCAATTGATTTGAAATACAATATACCTCTACTACGCAATTCTTTGTTTTACGCAGCTTTATTTTCTGAGTCTCTTGGAAAGAACTGGGATTCATAATTTGGTAAACAGTAAAAATCTAAACGCCAAAAAGGCTATTTTCTTTACAACAGTTTTATTGGAAACTTTATTCTTCAATTACAGTAGGTTCAATACTTTGCTTGCCTATGTATAACAGTCAGATACATGCATGTCCTGATGTGCTCTGACTGCTCTCTAGCACTATTGCTAACTATTTGAATGAATGAATTGGAGGATTATCAAATTAACACCGTCTCATTTGTCTCTATTTTTAACAGCATTTCCTGGAAAGTTCCTTGGATTAAATTGCAGAACTGTCAAATTAAGCTTTCCCTTTTGTTGTTGTTGACACTGTGCAAAAATTGTTGTTCCATGATCATTATTAAGGGAATGATTTGGTCTTGGATAGTTTTAAGGCAAATCATTTGGTGGGCTGTTTTCTTGGATAGCTGTGTTGCTTTGTATATGTTCCACATAGTAATCCCACTGCATGTAGATCTAGAAAACACATTCAGAAAACCAGGGAATATTGTATTAAAACTGATAAGGCAAAGAATCACCTTGTTTTAGACCAAATATGTTAAAGAGGCCCTGGTGTGCTTTTTGGGGGTTTTCCATTTCCTGTAGTGTTTTATAGTTTTTTTGTGCACATCAATGGTTTGCAGAGGCTGACATCCCCGTGTTCCCTCTGGAGGAATTTGATGTTTATCTCCTCCCTGCAGAGTGATGAACACTAATGAAGAATATGGTGAAGAGGAGCTTAGTGACTACATCCTCCAGCTCAGTATTCAAGACTCCTGCCAGGAGGCCTTTCTGAAATCTGCAGCAAGGTATGAAACACACATCAAGATTTCACCATCCGTCCCAAAAAATACATAACAAATTATAATTTGATCAAACCCAGCTGACTTCCCTTTGCATCGTCTGCTCCTCACTGTTAGTTTAGAAGCACCGACGGATGAGAATCTGAGAGTCCTGGCTGCCATCGAGCAAGGTGGGTTAGGGCATCACGGAGGTGGGAAGGAGCGGAGTACAAATACTTCGTTACTGTACCTATTATACCTGTACTTTCTACTTCTTACATTTAGAACACAAATACCTGTACTTTCTGCTTCTTACATGTTGAACACAAATACCTGTACTTTCTACTTCTTACATGTTGAACACAAATACCTGTACTTTCTACTTCTCACATGTTGAACTCAAATACCTGTACTTTCTACTTCTTACATGTTGAACACAAATACCTGTACTTTCTACTTCTCACATGTTGAACTCAAATACCTGTACTTTCTACTTCTTACATGTTGAACCCAAATACCTGTACTTTCTACTTCTTACATGTTGAACCCAAATACCTGTACTTTCTACTTGTTACATTTCCCAAACAGGCTGGTTCCTTTAGTTTGAATGTGTGTTTGGTGGCGTGATCATTATTATTTAGAGTCATTGCGTGCCTATTGATTTGAACACGATCCGTGTATCCATCATTTCCTGGTCTTCTCTAAAGAAGAGGGACCAATGAAAACGTTGTCATGTTGCCGTTGTTCAGCATGGAAACATTCATTAGCTAACAATGACATTATTGTTCTATTAATATAAAGGGAGGTCAGGTACTCTTTAAAACAGCTGCTCGTTATGGGTACTTTTTACTGAAGTACATTTCAAAGCCTCTTTACTTTGACTTGAGTAAAGAAGTTTAGTCAGTACTTCTACTTTACCAGAGTATTTTTAAACACGAGTATCTGTACTTCTACTTGAGTAAAGGATGTGTGTTATTTTGCCATCTCTAAGGAAACACAGGGAGATACCTCCAGCGTTACACACTGTTGTGTTTGGTCCGCTGGTCACAGGGCGAGCAGCTGTAGGGAGGACTGCCAGGCATCAGGAGGCTGGCAGGGCGACAACATAACTGTAACTGAGAGAGGGAGATAAATAAACAGAGAGGGAGATAAATAAACAGAGAGGGAGAGAGGAAAGGTGGAAAAGCATCTGTTGATTAGAAAACAGGAAATGTACACAGTAGTCTCACAGTCTCCTGAGAGACTACTGTGAATTTAGGCCGTGTATGTTGACTAAAATCACACGGCTGCCCTCACTGGAAGTGACGATAGCTCCTATTAGCTAACGAGCAAATCATTACAGAGTCAGAATCAGAATCAGAATACCTTTATTCGTCCCACAGAGGGGGAATGTGCATTTGTTACAGCAAGAAAAGAGCCAAAGACAGCTTAATATTACCAAGAAGCATGCATTAAAAAATATTGAAGATAAAAAATGTAAAAGAAAATGAACACAATTTACAAAATACACATCCCGTAACAGAGTGCTAGACCAATGAACTTATGGTGGCTTCTTTTTGACACCAGTATAGTGGTACGTATATTATTAACACATGTATAACTATTATTGATATAGTGCTGTGTTCACCAGAGCAAACACAACCACAGCTGGCTGAGAGTAGGCGGTCGTTGAGTGTGGGAATTATCGGAGGATGTATATAGAGAACTTTTTTAAACCACTGTGTTTTGTTATTTTATTGTATTGTCTTTACTGTTCTTTTAATACATCAGGGATCATGTTGGAAACAAGAGTTCACACTTTGTTATTCCTTGAATTGCTTTGTTTTCTTCTCTATATCCATGTCAGGGACCAAGCAGTAAGGCAACACAGGAGTGGTTTAAATAAACTGGGTTTGCAATTAACAAATTCTACCTGTGCTGTTGCCGTGGTGACCAGGTGAGGTGTTGATGCTCAGAGGAATGCTGAGACACACCTGTGCCTTCAGAGAGTCGGACGCTCGCGGCTGGCTTCCCGTCCATCGAGCCGCGATGCAGCCGGACCCCGAGGTTCTGCACACCGTCCTAAAATGTAGGTACATTTCTTCAGTATATGGGCATTTCATTCAATATCAAAGGGTGGGGAGGTCTTTGGGATTTAGCCTCTGCACATACACAAAAAGCTACACGGCAGGAAGGGGAAAAGCAAAAAAAGGATGAGACAGTGGAGCCTTTTTAATCCATTTGTTTTTATAACAGCCAAAGGGGCTCCTAACTTCATTTTATATGGGACTTGTGGTCATTTTCACATTGAAACTTGTATTTTCAGGTCTTTCTAGGACATTTTGAAACACTTAATGTAAAAAAAACCTACATTTTCTCCTACTGTTTTACTGAATATACCTGTTTGTATGTACTCTCTGTCTAAAACACCTCTTTTAGTTCCTGTCTCTTTATGCCCGCCTGCTGAAAAACCCAAATATGGGATATAGCCAAATCTAAATTGCTTGTCGAATTGCATGTTTAGACAAAAACAGAATGCCTGGGTTATCTTATTTCACAGTGTGTGGGTTGGTAGGCACTCCAAATACCCACAAATATGTGCACAAGCACTGAAGGAAGTGTTTTTTCACATTATAACCCCCTTTTAATACTATCTCTGAATTCTTCTTCTCGGCTGTCAATGATATGGTCAACTGAACTGGAAAATCAGAAATCTAAAAGCAATTTCCTTAAAGCATATTTCTGATCACTTTGGGGAAGCAGAGCAGCAGCGGGATTATCAGAGATTGTTTGCTGGAAACACTGAGACTGAACCAAGCAGTAAATGTGCTGTAATAACTCAAACAAATAGGGGAAGAAGCTCCGTAGAGCCTCAGAGTGTCTCAAGTCTGAAAAGTGACTAACTTTAATTACTATTTTGCAAAAACACCCTCTTTGTATCTCTGTATTCCTCTGAAACATATTTTATTATAACCCAGTTAAGCTGGGACAAGTTCTGTTTAGCAGCTAAATTAATCAGATGCTAAGTGACACATCAATCCAGACAGACTTGGGTGACTTAATATAACCTCCTGACACATTTAACGGGAGGAGATGACATCAATAATTTTTTTTAAACGTTGACGTGAAGTCATGTGATCATAGTTTTCTAATAAGTGGTGCTAATATGTAGAGATTATCCTGCTGAACAAAACGTGTACGTAAGTATCCTAAACGTTTGTTTGCCACTGATATTATTTGCTATAATAATCCAAAATCCAATGGCAAAATCGTATTGACGTTTTGTTTGAAAAATCTCACTCGTCCCCGGCTTGAGCTTCAATCTCAGGATCCATGTATTTGTGATCCTCTCCAGAATGGAAGTAGTCATCACATACAGAGCATCAACTAGTTCCTGAACAGTGTCCTTCACATGCTGATATCCAAGAGAGGGAGTTACACAGTCACAAGATGGAGGAATAGAAAGCAGTATTCAATGTTTACTTCAGATTAGCTCCACGTCAGAAATGATCATGCTTGTCATATGTCTATCTCCATAGAGGCTGAATCATCATGTTAATCACATAGCTATCATATGCCTCAAACAGTCCTGATGCTCTTCTAGGTAATCATACATCCTGTCATGTTCACAGCTACAGTTGGGATACCTTTGTTATCATGTTACTCTCATGTTGGAAGAGGACGTTCACTATTTTCCCAACACGTTTTGTCAAGGAAGTCAGGAGGATGATCATTTCTGGTTCAGCCAACAAAAATCCTCATCACTGCACGACTCTGTTACAGAAGATGAAGCATCAGGTCGCATTAGGGTTGAATGTAAATATAGGGGAGACATAAAACTATGAAATGATGCTGCCTATCTTCATCCAGCACATGTTGACCATTGACGACATCGACCTGTTTGTGTGTGTGTGTCAGTGACAGCTCAGGGGCTCAGCCTTGAGGAGAGGACGGCGGGGGGGGGGGAGACGGCGCTGACTCTGGCAGTGACAGCCGGGCTGGTGCAGAACGTGAAGAACCTTCTGGAGAACGGAGCATCACCTCACAACACCAACACCAAGAACGAGTCCCCGCTGCTGCTGGGTAACATCCATAATGTTATCTGAAAATAATCACATTATAAAACCATTAAAAACGGCATAGGCTGCAGTTAGGTGATCTTGACTGGCGTCCCCCAAGACCCCGATACATTGGAAATCAAAGAAAATCGTTAATCAAAGCACAGAAGAATAATATAAAGTCATTAGGAGCAAATTAACTGACTGGTTGATTGGTTGATTGGTTGATTGATTGAAAACATAGAATAAATATGTGAAAATAACAAAAAGTAGACCTCTGGGGTTTGTTGGTTGGTAAGTCGAGGGACAATTGGGGATCTTTGTTATTGGAAAACATCTTTGCCACCAATGGTGTTAATTAAAAAAGTTGTCCTGAGGGTAGTGCCAGAGTAACGACTATGTTGATGTGAAGAAGGTGCCAGAAAACATTGGAAAAATTGTTCAAAGAGGCTAAAAAGCTCCGTACGATGGAAGTTGGCGATTATTCTCGGCATGTCCCCCAACTTTTGCACTACACAATATCAGGTTCATTGTTACAATTAAAACAATTTTATAAATTCAGCTATAAAGAAAGTAATCCCAGTCTTGCTAAACCTTAAAAACACACATTTCTATATTTAGTTTAGCTTATTTGTTTGTAGTGTCGTGGACAGTCCCCATTGATCGACTGTCAAAGAAATGGGGCAGCTTTAGCCAACATTGCTAATTTCCAGCTGTTGTCCCCAGCCAGATGATAATAGACACCTTTTTAAAATCACAATACATCAACAGCATTAAGTTATTTGGAAATAAAAATGTTCCTTCCTTCACAGCGGTGAAGGCCGCCTCTCTGGAGATCATGCAGCTGCTGGTGGCTCACAACGCCTGGGTGGAGCAGGTGTGCAGGAAGCGATGGACCGCGATGCACGAGGCGGCCAAGGTGGGAAACGTGGACATCCTGATGCTGCTGCTGAGGAACGGAGGCCAGGTCAACCAGAAGGACGTGTCGGGGGGGACGCCGCTCGCCGTGGCTGCAGAGCATTCACACTACCACATCATCGAGATTCTGCTGAACTGTGGTCAGTCTGAAGAGCTTAACGGCAGGTTTAGAGACCGTTCATTCAACATGGGTAGATATGGGAATATTGAAATTAGTACTTGTTAGCATTAGCCAAAACCTTTGATCAGGACTCCAAAGTTGTTAAATACTGATGATTGGGAAGTTCTCACGGTTTCCTATACCCACGCACTAAGGCATCTTTAGTATGTGGTTAAGAAGAACCAGGCTTTAGGATAACTATGTAACAATGTAAACTTATTAATGTCGTTAATGGACGCCCAAAGGAACGGATGTTAATAAAGAAGGAGTTTGCTCAGGGGTGCCAAAAGATGTCAAAGTTGACTTACAGTATCTAATGGAATTAATACCAGTTTCTTAACAAACACCAATGCTACTCAAAGTTATTTATTTTTTCCGCTGAAAACACAATCTTTAACTGAATTAATCCAGTACTACAGTTGCTTTATCCTAACATTGTTGAGCAAGTAAACCTACATTCGTTATGCCACCAAACCAGGGGCGGACTGGCCATCGGGACGTTCGGGACGAATCCCGATGGGCCGGTACTGAAGTGGGCCGATCGGACAATGTGGGCCCCCCCCCCCCATTGACAATTTACTAGCGGTCATTACTGGCGGTACCGAGGTGGGCCGATCGAGAGTCCCGGGCTGATTTGTAGTCCCAGTCCGCCGCTGCACCAAACTGACATTGTAGAAGGACCAAATGCACTGTAGTTTGAAGTGTAGGGCCACTGATTAAGCTACTGTACTTGACGAGTTGGCAGTGAGAATGTTATCGACAGCAATGTTTACACTTGTACAAATGACCTTAACTTCCCCCCCTACACTTCTGGAGACACTGTGTTTCTTTGTACAAAGGTAAAATCTCCTCTTGTTGCAGGTAGCAGCGTGAACGCTCAGGCCTGTAACGGTGAGAGTGTCCTGCTGGACGCGTCCGGATCAGGAAACACCGCCTGCATTCAGCTGCTGCTCGACAACGGAGCCGACCCCAACCTGCCCAGCACCACCGGACACCTGCCGCTCCACAAGGCCGCGTTCAACGGACACTTCGAGTGAGCTTCTTTGTTGGGGAAATACTTTCCTAGGCCCATAACTTTGACCCAGTTTATCAGTTTGTACTGCCCTCGCTGAGTACAGTCCTGCACCCTTGAACTGCTGTGTTTTGTCTCCCTGTTCCTGCCTGTTGGCATCAGCTGATAGAAGTGTTATGGTTTTATCTTGTTATGCAGCATGTTGATTCTTCTCTCAGAACTAGCTAAATACATGGGTCTGGGGTAGAGATCTTCAGAATTGGTTTGGCAGCAGCTGAGTCACCTCGTGGCTGCAGCACATGTCTTGTGAATTCTCCGGCCGAAGCTCCAAATAAACCATCAGTGTTTGCCATCAAAGTTCCTGCTCTCTCCGAGTCTCTTTGAGTCTCGTCTCCATTGCTTCAGAAGTTTCCATCACATTCTCCTGAAGCAGCTTCAAGTGGACGCCAGTGAGAGTTGATCACAGCAGAACATTTAACTGCTTGTGTTTTCCCCACAGTGCTCTGAAGATGCTGATTCCTCTGACCACCAAGAAGGCGATCAAAGCAGCGGGTCAGAGTCCGGTCCACTCGGCGTCAGAGGGAGGTCAGAGCCGCTGCCTGAAGCACCTGCTGGCCTGTGGCTTCGACGTGAACTACCGCATGAACGCCAGAAACTCAGAGAACTACAGCGACATGAGGAGGAGCGCCTTGTACTTCGCCGTCTCAAACGGGGACGTGGAGTGCTCTAAAATCCTGCTGGCGGCCGGAGCGAAGACGGACCTGGACCCTCTGTGCTGCCTCCTGGTGGCGGTCAGGTCGGGGCGCTACGACATCGTGAAGCTGCTGCTGGCGGCTAAAGCGGACGTGAACTGTTACTTCACGGTGCTGAACGACACGGTGTTTCCCACAGCGCTGCAGTACTGCCTGAAGGACGAGGTGATGATGAGGCTGCTGCTCAACAACGGATACAAGGTGGAGCGCTGCTTTCACTGCCACCATGATGACGCTTTCCGTGAAGCCAATGAAGGGGAGGGGAAGATTCCAGTAAGTGACATCAGCTAGGTTAGAAAATTAACCTACGTAGCTTATTTTACTTACGTCATTTGGTTAGCCTTCTTTTCAGATACGTAATTTAAAGGGGACCTATCATGCAAAATGCACTTTTGTACGTCTTTTCTACATGAATATGTGTCCCCGGTGTTCCAGGGAACTCACCAAGTGTCAGAAAACACAACCCTCTCTATTTTCCTCCATACCCAAATCTCTAAAAAAGGGGCTGCAACGGATCTGATAAAAACTGATCCAGATTTGAACACTGTCCTGACGTCAGGACGGTGGCGCTACGGCTATTGGGCCAACTCCACCAATCAGGAGGAGACAGCCACGGCCATTGCCGTTCGAAAGCGCTGGAGACGCTGTAGTACATATGCCAGGCCAGTAGATGGTGCTGTTCTCACTGAATCTGCCCTTGCAAAAACAGAGCTAAAAAATGTCAAATTGAGCAAAATGAGGCATGGCTAAAATGCATGATCTGTTTGGTATTTTGAAAAAAAAAAAGTATAAATATGCCTTATACAGGTATGGTCCTACACTATATTATTCAAATATAGCATGATAGGTCCACTTTAAAGTACGCAACAAGGTAACTATTTTAACCCAAATGACAATATTGAATGAATAATGAAAACTTTGCCAATAATCCAAGAGAAAATGTTGCTCTAAACATAATTGATAATGCAGTTTTGTTGTATGGAAACGTAACTTCTGGGAGGGGAAGATTCCAGTAAGTGACATCAGCTAAGTTAGAAAAAGGGGGGGAAAACTGGAAAGAGTTGCACATTTATATATAATTTTAAGAGTGTTTACTTCTAGAGAAGACATTATTGACCTTGTGATTGTCCGTCCTCTCTGCAGTTCTGTGAGTTCATGAGCCTCTGCTGCGTCATGCATCTGTCCGGCACGGTGGTCCGGACTCTGCTCGACTACGTCAACCGCGTCCAGATCTGCTCCAAACTCAGACTGCTCCTGAAGAAACAGAGAGAGTGGCCCGACATCTGCGACATCCTCAGTGAGTTCATTCAAGATTATTATCTGGCTGGAGGCAAGGTGCAAAACCTTACCCGAGATAAAGACTGTCATCAATAACAAGAAATATCACTTTAAACAAGGCCCTTTAATTGTTTTGGGGGTTTCCCTCTCCGTTGATGTGTTCTAGGTTGTAGTGCATGTAAATGGTCTGCAAAGGCTAAAATCCCTGTGTTTCCTGGGATTTCCTCTCCCACATATCCCCCCCTCCCCCTGCCTGAAACGCCTCCATCGGACTCCTTTGTTTACTTATAGTAACATCATCATGTAACTCTTTCGCTTCTATTATTACTATTACTCCAACTCATCGTACGTGATAGGCAAGGGGCGGGACATCGCTAAGTGGTTGACCAATCACAACAGAGCCAGCCAGCTAACCAATCAGAGAAGACGGGGCTCTGGTTTCAGACAGAGGGTGAAAAGAGGCAGTATGAGAAAAAGAGCTTTCTGAACATTAAAGCATGGAGACATGTTCCAGAAGAGACATTGAATACTCATGTGAACCTGAACATGAGCTGAATATGGCCCCTTTATGTGTGGTCTCTTTCCTGTGTTTAATCCTCTCAGTTCTGTGTTTTATGGAAGAATGAACTAATAAAGTAAAACCCATTCTTTTTTACCTTGCCCTCCAGACAGCCCTCGCTCCCTGCGGCACCTCTGCAGACTGGAGATCCGGAGGCGTCTGACCCTGAAGAGACTCAACAAACCTGAAGTCATGGACTCGCACGTTTTCCCCCCCAGACTGAAACACTTCATACTGTACCAGGAGCTCGACCTCTACAGCCAGGACCTCGAACGCATCATATGAACACAATATGGATTTCCTCTGCTAGTTTCCTGCATATTTTAAAAGGACGTTTCTGTTTTTTAAGCTTTGTTATCTCTGGTTTTTATAAGCACAATTTTTTAAAGAACTTTATTTTTTTGCTCCATCAAGGAAGTGAGTTAAAAAATACTGGTTTGATTTTCATGTACATTTATAGAAGGGTGTAGCATGGGACAAAGAAGAACCCATAACATTTTGGAGTGGATTCAAATCACATGATTTTTGAGGTGAAAAGCTGGAGTAAGGCTATAAAGAAACTACAGCACGGTCACATGACTTCACGTCACCACCGCTAAGCTAAAGGTGGCTAATGTTGGGCTATAAAGGAACTACAGCACGGTCACATGACTTCACGTCACCACCGCTAAGCTAAAGTCGGCTAATGTTGGGCTATAAAGAAACTACAGCACGGTCACATGACTTCACGTCACCACCGCTAAGCTAAAGGAGGCTAATGTTGGGCTATAAAGGAACTACAGCGCGGTCACATGACTTCACATCACCACCGCTAAGCTAAAGGTGGCTAATGTTGGGCTATAAAGAAACTACAGCACGGTCACATGACTTCACATCACCACCGCTAAGCTAAAGGCGGCTAATGTTGGGCTATTTAGGAACTACAGCGCGGTCACATGACTTCACGTCACCACCGCTAAGCTAAAGGCGGCTAATGTTGGGCTATTTAGGAACTACAGCGCGGTCACATGACTTCACATCACCACCGCTAAGCTAAAGGTGGCTAATGTTGGGCTATAAAGAAACTACAGCACGGTCACATGACTTCACATCACCACCGCTAAGCTAAAGGCGGCTAATGTTGGGCTATTTAGGAACTACAGCGCGGTCACATGACTTCACATCACCACCGCTAAGCTAAAGGCGGCTAATGTTGGGCTATTTAGGAACTACAGCGCGGTCACATGACTTCACGTCACCACCGCTAAGCTAAAGGCGGCTAATGTTGGGCTATAAAGAAACTACAGCACGGTCACATGACTTCACGTCACCACCGCTAAGCTAAAGGCGGCTAATGTTGGGCAATAAAGGAACTACAGCACGGTCACATGACCTCACGTCACCACCGCTAAGCTAAAGGCGGCTAATGTTGGGCAATAAAGGAACTACAGCACGGTCACATGACTTCACGTCACCACCGCTAAGCTAAAGGCGGCTAATGTTGGGCTATTTAGGAACTACAGCGCGGTCACATGACTTCACATCACCACCGCTAAGCTAAAGGTGGCTAATGTTGGGCTATAAAGGAACTACAGCACGGTCACATGACTTCACGTCACCACCGCTAAGCTAAAAGCAGCTCATGTTGGGCTATAAAGGAACTGCAGCACGGTCACATGACTTCATGTCAACATTTTAATATTGGTGTTTCAGAAAACTGTTCTTTTGCTGCTACATTGTGATTAAAATTATAAAATATACAAGATCTTGCTTTATGTGTTGAGGCCAGGAAAACCTTTATATTTCCCTCTTTTGGCAGTATGTTTTGGAGCTTAAATAATTGGTAGTTTAGACATGAAAAAAAGTGCAAAAAAAGTACTTTAAAATGCTAATCAAAGAGGTCAAAGGTCAGCCGCAGCTGGAGATCAGGTTAAGAGTAATTTCCCTCTTGAAGCCTCTTCAATACTTCAGCAGGTTGTCATCGACTTGTTTTTTAATGGTGTTTTGAGCACACGGCGGATCATAATGACACAATAAATATTCATACAACAGACCACTTCATTATTGTTTGTCATTAGCTGTGGAAAATGTGCAGAGCGACATTACACTCCATTAGGTGCTGCTGAACGGCCTGCATGTTAAATACACTGGAACAGGTGACACCTATAAATAGTGTTGTGGAGTGTGTGTGTGTGTGCGTGTGCGTGTGCCTGTGCGTGTGCGTGTGCGTGTGTGTGTGTGTGTGTGTGTGTGTGGACTTCGGCCATGACAGAAACACTGTGCTGCTGCTGCTGCTGCTTCGTCCTTTGACTCGAACACTGACACATTTATCAGGTGAGACTGATTCAGTGCAGTTTTTGTCACGTTACAGGTGTGTTTTGCAAGTTTTCTTCTACAGAATGATGTTAAATTAATAACATTGTGTACTTACTGTGGTTTGTTGAGCAACACTTATTATATCTGATTAGGTCAGGGGTCAAAATCCTCTGAAAATAGAGCCGATATCAAATACATTAAGAGTCCTTGAAAGAAAAAGCAGGTTAATGTAAATGTGATTTTGGAGTCTGAATGAATGAACACAACTCACTGAGACATGAGAGCTGTGGCCTAGATCCAAACTAAAAGCTAAAGTGCCGTCAGATCAGCATTCAGAACAGCAATACTATATTTAAGCAATAGCTCACGACAGGCCGTGGTATATGGCCATTATATCACCGTTAAGGGGCGTGGTTCGGCCCGACCCTCATATTCATTCACCCACAACATTTGTAGTTTATCCATTGGCAGAAATCAGTGTATCTGCTTGTACTGTTCGAAATCATGTGAAGTGTGTGTGTGTGTGTGTGTGTGTGTGTGTGTGTGTGTGTGTGTGTGTGTGTGTGTGTGTGTGTGTGTGTGTGTGTGTGTGTGTGTGTGTGTGTGTGTGTGTGTGTGTGTGTGTGTGTGTGTGTTGTCAGTAGGATGGATGCAGCTGAGGACCTTGATGAAGACGATCTTATGCACCACGATGTTCAGATGAGCATCCAGGAGTCGGTTCAGAGACCAGAGAGGTGCAGCAACATGAAACAACTTCACTAGGAATATCAAATTCAACATGTGTTTTAATATTTCTAAATATTTACAGCCGTATTTCTGTTTTAACATCTAGAAGTGAGGCTATGAAGCTTGTGGGGGCCATCAAACAAGGTAAAGAGTCAAACCTGGCTGTGGTTAGCAATCAAAACTGGTTTTAAAATAACTTCAATAAATGTTTTGTCAGTACAAGAGATGATGACGTCTTGAGTCCTTGGTCAAAAAGACTGGATGTTAGTCGACCCAGAAAATATACAAATACAAAAAAGAAGTTTAAAATTATGCTTTCTCAGAATCTGTAAAGCGTAAAAACCAAAACACCAAGGGGGTGATATCTTTTGACTAAGAATCAGAAACAGGTTTATTACAACGTTTGTTTTCCATGAAAGGAATTAGTATACTGTAGCTGGTTCTTCCTTGGGTCATTGCATTGCAAAGTTAACAAAAGTAAAAAACTAAAATGCGGATCCTGTTTAACATTTAACGGGTTCCTTGGCCAATGCTGAACAATTTCACAAAGTTTCATGAGAATTGGCCTGGTAGTTTTCCAGTAATGCTGCAGACTAACACCGAAACAATAACCACTGGTCAGAGAGGGCAGAAGTACACACATCCATTACTCAAGTAGAAGTACAGATACTCGTGTTTAAAAATACTCTGGTGAAAGTAGAAGTACTGACTAAACTTCTTTACTCAAGTCAAAGTAAAGAGGGCTTTGAAATGTACTTCAGTAAAAAGTACCCATAACTAGCAGCTGTTTTAAAGAGTACCTGACCTCCCTTTATATTAATAGAACAATAATGTCATTGTTAGCTAATGAATGTTTCCATGCTGAACAACGGCAACATGACAACGTTTTCATTGGTCCCTCTTCTTTAGAGAAGACCAGGAAATGATGGATACACGGATCGTGTTCAAATCAATAGGCACGCAATGACTCTAAATAATAATGATCACGCCACCAAACACACATTCAAACTAAAGGAACCAGCCTGTTTGGGAAATGTAAGAAGTAGAAAGTACAGGTATTTGGGTTCAACATGTAAGAAGTAGAAAGTACAGGTATTTGGGTTCAACATGTAAGAAGTAGAAAGTACAGGTATTTGGGTTCAACATGTAAGAAGTAGAAAGTACAGGTATTTGTGTTCAACATGTAAGAAGTAGAAAGTACAGGTATTTGGGTTCAACATGTAAGAAGTAGAAAGTACAGGTATTTGGGTTCAACATGTGAGAAGTAGAAAGTACAGGTATTTGTGTTCAAAATGTAAGAAGTAGAAAGTACAGGTATTTGGGTTCAACATGTAAGAAGTAGAAAGTACAGGTATTTGTGTTCAACATGTAAGAAGTAGAAAGTACAGGTATTTGTGTTCAAAATGTAAGAAGTAGAAAGTACAGGTATTTGGGTTCAACATGTAAGAAGTAGAAAGTACAGGTATTTGAGTTCAACATGTAAGAAGTAGAAAGTACAGGTATTTGTGTTCAAAATGTAAGAAGTAGAAAGTACAGGTATTTGGGTTCAACATGTAAGAAGTAGAAAGTACAGGTATTTGAGTTCAACATGTAAGAAGTAGAAAGTACAGGTGTTTGAGTTCAAAATGTAAGAAGTCAAAGGAAAAAGTCGTCAGGAAAATAAGTAGTGGAGTAAAGTACTGATACCAGAAAAATGTACTTAAGTACAGTAACGAAGTATTTGTACTCCACTACTTCCCACCTCTGCCACTGGTGTGATAGAGATAAAATAAAGTAACATATTAATATATTCTCCTTGAATAAAAGTACTGAAATGTCTCTGCAGGTGACATGTTGGCTCTGCGGCAGCTCTGTGATTTCCCAGCATGCTTCAGTCAGGCGGATGAGCGCGGCTGGTTTCCTCTGCACTGGGCGGTGGTGCAACCTCTGGTTCTGGTCCTGGAGACGGTGCTGTACGGTGGGTAAGAGGTCCACAATTTTACTACAATTTATTTCACAGTTTAGAGAATGGACGAGAAAAAACCAAACCGATGGTGATTTATTATCTGAATTATTATTGCATTAAATACATTAAATGTTAAATCCAAACAAGAAATCATCAGTATACATGTCAAATATCTATTTCTTTTTATACTATTTAATAAATCAACTTTAATATTTATACTTTTGCATTCATTTTTTTCCATTATCAGCATCTGCATTGTCCGCATCAATGTTCAACTTCTACATGAGGCTTTAAAATAAGGTTTCACATTGATTAACTG